TTCATCTCTATGTTATTCAACAAACAAACAATCAAAATGATTGTAGTGAAAAATGAGTGATTATTAACAATAATTAATTATAATTATAACTGTTAAATTAATATTTAAAGTCAGACCTTTTTTCTTAAAACCAGTGTTTCTTTTTTTTTAAAGAAATTAATATACAAATTATGAGTACAAAATCATTTTACATAATAAGCTAATACTGGGGAAGACAGAAGAATTTTGCCTTTTTCTCCCATCAGATGCCACGATCACTACAGCCCCTCAGTATATTGTAAACTGAAGAAATTGTGGGCTAAAGCAATAAGACGATCAAAATTGGCGAAATCACAATCTTTTAAGGCTATGTGGACATCATTTTACAGAAAGTGATTTAAAACTCTTAAATCGTCTACAGGTGAAGAATTTTTATTTTGTACTTCTATACATATAATAAAATTGAAACTGAGTCGAATCTGTACATTAAAGATTTTTTTGGAAAATCTTATTGAAATAAACATTCGATACAGAGGCCGAAACTATAGTTTTTAGAATTTTTGTCTGTCTGTTACCGCGTCACAGAAACCACTGGAGGGATTTTGATGAAATTTGGTATGGTGATAGCTGGTCATCCGGGTCAACATATATTATACTTTTTACCACGGAAGAAAACATTTCTGAAAAAAAATACATAAACTGAAATGTAAGAGTATACTAATATGTAAAACCTAAGAATTTGGTTTTTGGTCATCTAAACGCTTAATTACAGAGTTTTATACAAACTTTCATCCTCCATTTTACTCACTTATGGAAATGAATTTCGAAAAATGCTACAACACGTATTTATATAATTGTATTGAAGAGCATTAATAACAAGTTTTAAGTAATTCTGATCATAAATAATTCTTTACCCATATAAACTTTATTGCCTCCTTTTACTCTTTTAAGGGATGAATTTCGAAAAATACTAATATATATTTTTCTTATTTTTTTATCTTTAAGCTAAACACTACTTCCTGTGTATTTCACATTAAGAATGACAGAATTTCATACAATCTTCAATCTCCTATTTTATTTACCCACTTATATATGAATTTGGAAAAACTTCTTTTTTATCGAATGCCTATATCATAAAAGGAATACGTGTTTCAAATTTCACGTTACTCATTTCATTCACGACCAGCGGTTTAGGCTGTGTGTTGATCCATCAGTCAGTCAGGACCACCACAGGATCACCTCTTCTTCTCAATTCTTCCTTCAGCTAGTCTAACTTCTAGATACAATACATTGCACACGTAAGATGCGAACACAAAAGATGCAGAAAATCAAGTATAAAAGAGGTATCACAATAAATTGCTTAACCTCAGAATGAATGTAAATAGGCGATACGTGTGGCGCCCTCCTTTCGAGAAATCTTCCCCGTTCCGCCAATGTAGCTATAACATAGACGCGATAAAAATAATATGTTCATACATATATAATAGTATCTTATTATAAAAAATAAATTTTGTATAAAAAAAAGATAGCATACTTGTAAATAAAAAATTCAGTCTAGTTTCCAATTCTTGTATTGGAATATCTACAGAGCGTAGAACATGTTTGACCTGTTTATTTGCATCCTATATAAGGCAGAACTAAGATGACCAAACAAAATCAATGAGAAATAATATACATACATAATATATACTGGCTATATATTATTAAGTCTTATCTAGGCTAATAATTGGAGAGCCGATTTTTTTGTTCGGTTATACTGCGATAACTACTGAACCGATCGAAATAATACTCATACCATAAGATGCACCGTGTTTCGGAGGTTTTAGTATATGATATGTTGGTGATTTATGTACTATGCGGGCGGAGCCGCAGGAAAACGCTAGTTTCATATATAGTACCTGGGGTACTACTACATATGAAATAAGACTGTTTAAGTTTCGAAGGTCATTTCATCATAGTATCAAATTATGGAATCAGCCGAATCACGCTCTCACTGGTTAATTGAGGAAGACATTTAATTTTCGAACTAATTTCGTAGAAATAAGAACTAAATTTGAAAGCGTAAAATGAAAGAATTACGCCAATTGGAAAAGCTGCCAGAATTAATAATATTTTAATACGTTTTTTTTAAGTACGGACTAGTTATCTACCTTAAAAGATAGAAATCCTAAATTCGATACTAAAACGGGAAAAATGTCAGCAGTCTGAATGATATATGCCATAGCTTGGGGGTCGCATACTATAAGCTAGTATAGTATTATATGATCTGTGCTATAAGCATAATATTACCTATGTATGTTGACTAAAATAAAATCTGAACGTAGTGACGACATGGACAAACAAGGAGTTAAGGGAAGACATATGGTGTGTAGCTTTTTTTTCATCTATATAGTAGGTAAGTTTAAACCAATATTGTAAAGAGAAAAAATTATATTTTTGGTTGTAATGGATAAACTAAAAATACGCTAAAACGATTTAGATGAAAATGATCCTGGGAAGGACATAGGATAATTTTTATCCCAGAAATTATCCCTTAAGGGGGGAAAACGGGGAAAAAGTTTGCATGGGAAATCAATCATTTTTCAAGTAAGTATATAAAACTTCATCGAACCTATGTATATGTAAATATTAGCTTTAATATTGTAGGTATAATGTTACTGCAAAACTATGTATTTTCAATCAAAAAATATTTATAAAATACTTATAAACATGGTGTCAGACATACTGGCAAACTTTCTAACAGTTATCTTTAATTTATTCTTCTAAAATAAATAAGCACCCACTTTGTAATTAAAGGTTACCAACCTTGGGAGAAAATTGGCAACCGACAGACATTAACCATTCAAGATTATACTCTTGAATACAATGGAGTATTGTGACCGAGCAGAAATCGATTGTCGTCGAAGCAAAGTTTTTCACGAAAAGTAAATTAATGTTAACGTCGCACAATTTTAATACGAAGTTATAAAAAAAATCACTGCCTATGTTTTTTTCTAAGAAAAAAATAATAAATATATAGGTACATACATATAACGAACTTTTCTTTATTATTTTATTTAATATTCATATGCTTTGAAAATTAAATTAGGCTTTAAAATGTCACTTAGTATAGTTTACGAAAATCATCTTTAGAAGAAAAAAGCATGAAAGCCTTACAAATAACATAGTACAAAATAAATAACTACTATGTACCTCAAACTTTAACTTTATTATAGGTACGCGAGATTACTGTGAGTATAATTTTATAAAATCTGTATAACAAGCAATTACTTCAGCCAAATCCTTTAAACAAGTTTTCAAAACTAATATGACCAGTTTTTTATTCATTTAAAATAAAAAAAATCTCGATAGAAAGTTATTACATATTGTTTTTTCCGACTATATAATGACGACATATGTTTACAATAATATCTTCATTTAAAATTTAATTTTTTTTACAATTAATATACTTATAAAAATATACTTATAACATTAGGTATACGTCATGTATTTTTTAGTTATCTAACTTCATTTAAAATCAAAGTGTTATTGACCCTTACTTAGTTTTTTGCAACACTGTATTTGATATTTATAGAGTAAACGATGAGTAACCGGACCAAGTGAACGATCTCCATCACAAAGCGAGGACTCGTCAGAGCAATTTTTATTTTTTTAGACAATTACTGTATAATATGTCATTCTTATTAATAACGATATATAATGAAACCACAAGTAAACATTCAAGATATGATTAAAAATATAAGTAGAAATTAATAAAATAAGGTACCTATTGCTTACAGCTAAGCTTGAATCATTTAAACTGATGCAAAGTAAGTAGTCACCAAATGCGAAAATTATATTTGCTTATTTCTTTAGAATGCTGTATATAATTTGATATAATAGATAATTCGGTTCAAAAAAGGAGAGGCTCTAATTTGGGCGTAAAGTACGCCACGCCAATTGTCAATTTATGGTAGATAATGTTTTTTTTTAACAAATTAAATTAAAGTATACTTCAGCGTGGTCCTATTTAAATTTAAAAAAAGGATATCAAAAATTCCCAAGAGGGATTAATTACCTACGAGTACAATGCGATTTTGAACTCGGTGTAACACAAAATTGTAAAAAATAATTGTGTTCAGTGATAAATAAGTGATATCTGAATTTTATTGTTATCACGTAGGTACAGTTAATTATATGGGACTTTATAGAAATGAAATTATTTAAAATTGAGTAACGTGGATATAATTATTATTTATATTCTCTAACCAATAGCCGACATGGATAGTTCTGTTGGTTACGCAGTTACGTCATTTTTATCATGATTAGAGTTTAGCTACGTTCTCAATTCACATATTAAAATTCCTATGTATTTGGAACAAATTTACTTAAAATTTGTAATAAAGTTTGTAAATATACATGGTTATCAAATATTTATTTAGTTTTCGGCGTAATCTAATAATATTGTCATACAATTCATTTGTTAGTTGTTAGTTAAATATAAACAATAAAACTATACATAGGTACCTATTACATTCTGTTGGAATGAAAAAAGGTTTTATTTATCGAACTTTTTATTAATTTCAATCTCCAATGTTAACTAACAAATAGATCAACTATCTGAGGGCTTAACTGCGGTCGTCATCTTTTGTTTCTACGTTGTATAATGATATCATACCTACATAAAGGACCTTAATATGTTGGGTATGTATGAACGTAATTAATATTCATATAAGTACAAAATATTTTCAGTAGTACGGTTCAGTTACTTAAGTAAAATATACTTAATTATATGTTAACCAAGTAATAGGTAGGCGAAGTTAACGGTTATCGCTCAAAACATTTTAACTTTATTCTTGCTGATAAGATTAAACTTGCTTAGTTTTAAAGTGATTGGGAGTTTCTATAGTTGTAAGCGTTAAAAACGTCCTTGGCCATGATTTTAGAACTACCTACCACTAGCGCAATTTGTAATTGCGATTATTAAAATCTACGTGCCTAGAGATATTATATCATATAACTACATACATACATACACTTACCTTCGACATATCGTTGAGCTTATTGTCTACGGGAACACCACAAAATCGCCATAGTCTCACTCCTTTTATGATAACATTGAATTGAAACGTTATTGGATCTGAATTCTTATATCGAACAATGGTCGACCGTGGAAAATTTGTATGGCATTTTGGAAACGCCGTTTCGCGGCGGAGGCCCGATCAATACTGTCGTTGCCGGCGAATAAGGTAAAAAATATAGCGATACGTTACGCGTGCGCGCGCAAACTGTTGTTGACTGACGAGCGCATGTGTGTGTCGTATCATAATGGCTCGACCGGCAACTCGAGGCTCAGGCTGCCTGGTAGAGGAACCGAACGAACCGTCGTTGCCCGAGGCCGCCGACATGAGAACTAATTGCAAGGTAATAAAGGCAGATTGTGTTGTAAGTTAGCACTTAGCTGTCTGTTGCAATTGATGTCATTTCATCGGTTAACTGTACCAATTGTTGAACTATCTATTCAAACACAATGAGGGATTGAAAGAAGTAGGTAATGTATGCCCATTGTGAATCATTCATAAGTCAAATATCGTTTCAGTGGTCGAATAAATTAGGTACAATAAATGCCTTTATTGTACAAATATGTAGCTATTGAGGGTTAGCAGATTTCGTACCGACAATTCGAAGATATGATGAATTTGACCGATACAGTCACTATAGACCAAAGTATTCAATTCGTCATTAAATGGCTTTAATGCCTGCCAGTTGAGCACAATCAAAGTAAAATAGATCTACATAATAATTGATAAAGTAGGTAATTAATTAGAACTGTTAAGTAAATACTAAGTAGTACTGTGAACTGCTGTCGTTAGTTATCAAAACAACCACTATGGAAATCTAATATCTGCCAAGGATTATTGATTTTAGTCAGTATTTTTGCCTACTGAATATACTTTAATGACGTAATTAAAATCTGTAAAAATAGATGGCGCTATACGAAAAAAGATCACAGAGCTGGTACGAAAGTACATATTATTTATTGTTAGTTTTAATTTAAACGGACACGGTTTTCAAATTTTCAATATTACGAGTACAGCGTACAAATTTCTTATGTAATTACATATATAGGTACGTTCTTAGAAGACTAGGCTTGAAAGCTGCCGAAGGTAGATAGTTTATTTTTAACTTTTGGTTCAAAAATCTATATAATAAAAATAATATGCTGTTAGATAATTGGTTTGTGTGTGTGTGGCCTTGTTTAACGCATCTGCAAGCCCAGCGGTGTTGCAGATGTCCATGGGCGGCGGTGAAAACTTTCCATCAGGTGAGCCTCCTGCCCTTTCGCCCCCTTAGTCCCATAATAAAAAAGCCTATCAATTGAGAATGGCTATATTTGGCTAATTGTTTTCTATATACGTAATAGTATGAAAAAGGTTTTAGGACACAAGAATGGGACAAAACGCCCGAAAATTTGGGAAAATGAGGAAAAACTAAGTGTTTTTTTTTCTTTATGGTGTTAGTATGGTACCTAAGAATTCAAAAAGCACAAAAAAACTGACAGGACGTCTCTCGGTATTCAATAATATAAAATAAATAAAAAATATCTACTAGTTACTAAACTTATATTCAGAACTCATTCAGAGTCTAAAGTCAACTTAAATTTTAGAAAATAATAATAAATTCGTCATTCAGGTAAAATTTCCGCATTTGTTTTAATCATACGATGGGTAAAACTTTTCTTTGAATATACCTAGATGCCTCGGTTGTGTCAAACTCAGGTCAAGGACAGTTGTTTAACTGCGGCACTAATTCCAAGTATGCCTAATAGGCAACAGCTAGTATTTATTAATTCTTTAGCTATTTTACTTTATTCCTACTTTCACTTTCTCAACCGCAGTGGATGTATAGCCCTATAAGTACTGAACTGACAGCTTTCTACTATAATATAAGTATAGACTATAGTACCTAAAGGAACATGGAAATTATCGAAAATGAAGCACCCCTTTATGAGTAGGTATTAAAAAAATAAAGTTAAACTTAAAATTCAATTATCTTCTTTTCTTTCTTCTGGTCTGTTCGTTCTCATGTATTGAATGTTAGAGAATTATCATAGCGAAAGTTAGCACAAACAACAAATTACACATTAATGTAGGGATAGTCATTTATACCTAATAATTTGTACAATTTTTTAATTATGTTTCAATATGACCTCGATTTCTAGAGTATCCAGAACTTATACCTAAATCTATACATATAATAAAATTGTAACTAAACCGAATCTGTACATTAAATATTTTTTGGAAAATCTTATTGAAATAAACATTATTATCGATACAGAGGCCGAATCTATAGTTTTTAAAAATTTTGTCTGTCTGTCTGTCTATCTGTCTGTCTGTTACCACATCACAGAAAAACCACTGGAGGGATTTAGATAAAATTTTGTATGGTGATAGCTGGTTATTCGGGTCAACATATATGATACTTTTTACTGCAGGAAAATGTCTCATTTCTGAGAAAAAACACGAAAACTGCAATGTAAGAGAATACAAATATGTAAAATCTAAGAATTTGGTTTTTGGTCATCTGAACGTTGATGGAGCCGCGGGTAATGCTAGTATTAAATATGCTTAAATTAGAACTTTGCTCCGTGAAGAACATTGCTTTAGCAACCATTTTCTAAAATGGCTCTCCTGTTGAAGCTAAGCATAGTTAAACTCAACGACCACTCAGCCCAATAGACACCTCAGACCACCCTTAGACAAATACGTCTGACTTGAGAAAACTATCGCGCGATTTACTTTAGTAGCTACCAAATCCGTGACCCGCGGACACATTGCTTGAGACTCGTGAATTTCCGACACAAAAAATACAACAGACGCGCAACATGGCTCCCTGTACAATAAAATGGTATGGAAATAATAGCCAAACATGTAATTAAAAAAAAAATGGCATCATCTTTCATAGGTAAGTGAATTTTAATTTCGAAATTCATTAAATGTACTTAAGTCAGAGCTCAAGATATATTGGTCGCCACGCAACTCGCGTTGATGTATTCGGACATTCTCGGACTATGCATCCCTTTCTTTTCAATGCAGTTCATTGTTGCTATAGTTTTCTTTAATTACCGACACGTGTAATTAGCTCTGTACCAGTTACTTACCTGTTACTGTACCCCTTTAAGGGATGAATTTCGAAAAACTTTTTTATATCGGATGCCTATATCATAAAAGGAATACATCTTTCAAATTTCACGTTTCTCATTTCTTTGACGACCAGCGCTTTAGACCGTGTGTTGATCCATCAGTCAGTCAGGACCACCGCAGGATACACCTCTCCTTCTCAATTCTTCTTTCAGTTAGTCTAACTTCTAGATACAATACATTGCACACATAAGATGCGAACACAAAAGATGCAGAAAATCAAGTATAAAAGAGGTATCACAATAAATTACTTAACCTCAGACTGAATGTAAATAGGCTATACGTGTGGCGCCCTCCTTTTGAGAAATCTTACCCATTTATTTCGCAAAAAAATGTAGCAAAAGAGTAGACTTCTAAAGCTGATTTATGACATACAAATAAAAATTTGATACGTCAAACGGTTAATTGTCAATGTCAAACAGTCGAAGGATTGACGTAAAATTTTGGAAAATTAAAACATTGAATTTTGAAGTGAAAGAAAAGTGAAAACATGAATTTTGTTTTACGCGTGTTAACGCAATTAGCAGCCAAGTAAAACAAGGAAAATGAATAATATTTACTTATAGCAAAGTCAATATGAAACGAAATTTATACATTTCAGGAACTTAGTATAAATTCTATATGAAGTGAATGTGAAGGTTTTTCTAAATAAAACATTTATCAAATTAACAGTACGAAAATGGTGTCAACAACCATGACTATACAGGATATTCTACCATACGGCTCAAATAGATCGAATAAAAAAGTGGATATGGATGCAATTCTTCCTTTTATTATCTTACCACTCTTATTAGTAGTGTCAACCATATCCAGAGCTGTTACCATTATAGTGATGATATTTATTGTAATGGGTGCTTTGTATGTGCAATCAAGACCAAGACAAAAGAATAGGTGAACAGTTGTTGAATACTTTTATTTAAATAGTAATATCAAAGCTATCAATATCATATAAGTACATGATCAAATATAAACTAGAATATATAAAATCTCTTAATTTTGTACAATGTTTTTGATTACAATATTTGTATATTATGTTGTTAAATTGTTCAATTTATATTCATAAATTAACTTATTGTTTCTGTTTTTTTAGATCACCATTCTTTTATTCATGGACAATATCATCTGGAATTTGTATGTTTCTAGTTTTCGAACTTGGTGTACTAAGACTATTGGAAATAACACAACTTGAAAACTTTATCTTTCTACTTCTATTGGCATGCACATGTTATTTCTTTTACAAAATGAAAGCTATAGCAGATTTCGAACTTGCAACTGGGACTTCCAAAGGAAAAGAATATAGGTAAATTTCTTTTTTTAAGTTGAGCCATAATTTTGATATAAAATATTATGATTAGCTACTTTTTTAATTTTTTAATGAGAGTACCTACTTAATTAATACAAAAAGAACTAACATTTGACAAGTGATCAAAAAAAATCGTAATAAATTATCATAATATAATTACACTAATAAGTTAAATGATATTTTTTTTTCTTTTTAGCCCTGTATTGACATCAGATTCCTATTATTGCCAAGTTTGTCAAATAGAGGTTAATGAACGATTCTTTCACTCAATATGGTAAGGAACATGAAAATCAAAAATGAATATCTAACAAGTATTTCCCTTATAACCATATTAGTTTTTATTTTCTTTCAGTTTATATGTTAAAGATATTAGATACATAATAGAAATAACAGTTTAACATGTAATTGAAATATTTATATACAGTTCATCAAAAATTTTTTATAAGTAAGTATAGTACAGCAATGTTATGACTATATTACATTTTTATATTTTTACAGGTGGGACTGCTGTGTGCTCAGACCAAATTACATGTATTTCCTTGCTGGTCAAATATTTGCGTTTGCAACACTTTTGTATGGAACTAATTTGGGTTTAACTACAGTATGTCAGCCATATATATTTTACAGTACTATATTAATGCCAGAGGACTGCAATGATGTATATTTTGAATTTAAGTAAGCTTCCTAATTATTGGCTTATTTACATCTATAATTATGATAAAAAATATAATTTTATCTACTGTACTACTTTCCATAAAAGTTATTGAGGATGTATATTTGTTACGGTTTGTTTGAACGGTTTTTGATGAAACTTTATAGTAATATAGCTTATACATCAGACTATCTCATAGGCTATAATTTAATAAAGATATAGTAATACATTAATATTCATTGCTCAAACGACATTTAAATGGTTGTTGAATGAATTAAAAAGAAATTTAATACATATAGACCATGTATGGAACTTTTTATCACTGTTCATACAGAATAATTATCTATATTAATATTACTAGCAACAAACTTTTGATCGGGTTTGTCCCTAGGTATGTTTTAATTTTTTTTGAGCGGAACCCTAATTCTTTTTCTAAAATAAAAGTAGCCTATGTTACTCCCTATATCATTAGTTATCTTCCAGTAAAAGTTCCTTCAAAATCAGTTTATCCATTTCAGAGATTGTCCAGAACAAGCAGACAGACAGACATAAATTTTAAAAATTGTGTTTTTCTTATAAGTACTGTATATAATCTCATATGCATTTAGTAAAACACTGTTATTTTGAGATTACATACAAACTCTTCAATTTTATTTATCTGTATAGATGCATAGATAAAGAGAAAGATTTTTTTTGTATGTGTGTTTGTAATGGATAAACTAAAAATCCGCTGAACCGATTTAAATAAGGTATGAAGATAGTTTGAGACCCTAGGAAAGACATAGGTTAGGTTTTATGCCAGAAATCATCCTTTAAGGGGGTGAAAAGGGGGATGAATTTTGTATGGGGAATCAATCATTCCTCAAGTAAGGGGTATAGTCTATCTATTCCATATGAACCATAACCTATATTATGTATAGTAACACTTTATTTTAACCTTTTTGTTTTCTAGGATAAAAAGTAACCTATCTTCTTGCCTAAATGTTTGAAAAAATCGATCCTTTCTAATGACTATCCAATAAATCCATTTTAATTTTATTTATAGGTATAGATTTATATTTCACTATCCAAATGCTTTTATAATAATAGTTATCACTCGTCATTATCATGCTATTGTAACTGAAATAAAATAAATACATTTTTTTTTTCAGTTTGGCATTATGTTTTGTATCCTGTGTTTATGGACTTGGATATGTTTTGGTTATTGCGCTAGTATTATTAAGGCAATTGTTGATATACATTCCAAAGTATAGTGGTAAGTAAATACTTTACAATTACATATATCCACTTTTGTCAACATCACTTTCTGTGTTTTTTTTTGTAATATTTGTTTTCACTAAAGAATATAATACATATTTTTTCACCGAGTAGTTAGACTGCATTTAACTGTTTTTGTTATATGAGAAATAATTTTTAATTTAATAATTTCAGAACCACAATGGCGTAAAATAATAAACGTACTAACAGTATGAAATTCCTAACAATACTTCAATGATGCGAAGTAAATACTAGCTAAGCTAAATCACACACAAAAGTTATGTTTAAAAATTATAATTGTGTATTTTTTCATATATTTTAATTATATGGATTTGTATGATTATTATTTATTATAGTTTGAGTTGTATAATTATTTTTAATACAATCGAAACTCTATATGGATTGAAACTTTATTTAAGAAAAAACTAAATTTACAATTATTATTGCACTTAGCATTACAATTAGTCTCAATAGATAAACAATTTGTTCTTCTTATCAAGACAATATCTATTTTCAAAAAAATCTTCTGTGCTTATAGATTTTTTTCGTACTGAATGCTTCATTGCTATCAGGAAGGCATTATCATGTTCTTAGTTAATCACGAATTTTTAAACTTAATATGTATGTAGGTAATGTTAGTCTTTGTGTTGACGAAAAGTTTTTTAGTAATATCCGTGGATATTTAATGTTTTAAAAATTCAGATAAATAAAATTTAAGTGTCTTTTTGTAATATCGAAATAAAAGCTTTTTACTAAATGCATTTCATATGTAATTAAAATTTTTTGTGCGCGCGATGGTATTTTGAACTGACGAACCAATAGCGCGCCTTCAAGCACGCGGCGCGTGCCCCGCCGCCCCGCGCCCTACCTCGCCTCACCATTTTGACAGATAAATCGCTTCTGCGCAGCTAGACAGCCAGCGTTCTTTTTAAATGACTCGAGTTATACATTATATACTATCATAATGTACGCGTTCGCGTCGTCAGTAAGGCCAGTATAATCAATTAATAACTATTTTATTATACATTAAAATAGCGAAACCTTACACTTGGTTATAAAGTAATCTGTATAAAGGAGTTAATTGAGAATTTATTATTGAAATTAAATAAAATTGATCGCTATAAAGTTTCGATTGTATTAATTAGATATAAAACTTAATATGTAATTAGATAGGTAGGTATTTATTAAAACGACTGTTTTTATTTTAGATATTGCCACCATTTTACATTAATAATTTGTAAAAATTATGGACTGACTCGCTTAATACCTATGCTATATTGTGTGATATTTAATTATGCTCTCGTAGAGGTTTTGTTTATAAACTCTTAAAATAATATTTATTTGCCGTATTTTATTAATAATGAACCCACTTTTTTTGTTTTGGTTGGCGCCGCACTAATTACTGTCAACTTTATTGATCATACTATTTATAATGTGCGATTTTAATGGATCATCTTACAACAGGAACAGGAACTTGTTTGGACCAATCTAACGTTGCGTATATCTATACATATAATAAAATTGTAACTAAGCCGAATCTGTACATTAAATATTTTTTGGAAAATCTTATTGAAACAAACATTACTCTCGATACAGAGGCCGAATCTATTGTTTTTAGAATTTTTGTCTGTCTGTCTGTTACCGCATCACAGAAAAATCACTGGAGGGATTATGATGAAATTTGGTATGATAGTAGCTGGTTATCCGGGTCAACATATAGGATAGTTTTTACCGCGGGAAAATATCTCATTTCTGAGAAAAAATACAAAAACTGCAATGTAAGAGTATACTAATATGTAAAACCTAAGAATTTTGTTTTTGGTCATATGAACGCGGGCGGAGCCGCGGGCAATGCTAGTACGTTATAAAACCCAGAACCCAGAACCGTAAAATGTCGAAATTGAGCATTTGATTAGCCTTATGGCCTAAGAGCCTGTGAACGCCAGACCTTCGTCATTTTATAAAAGCTGAAAGTTTGTCAGCGCATGCTCCCAACACAGATAAGAACGATGGACCATTATGAAGTTCAGGCTATGGTGGCTTTGGCAGGTACACGGTACTAAAGGTGTGTAAAATACCGATCTAAATTCGTCAAATAATAAAGTGTGATTTTTTGGCATTATCTTCAGAATATTATTAAAAATCACGTCATTCAATGCCAAACACTTAACATCGTGACAAACCCTTGCCAGACACCCTTTTCATGAAATCATAATTCTACTTACGTTATAGTATAAAAGCTGATTTTTATATATAATACTTGGGTAATAATTAGATGATTTATAAGACTGCTAGCATAGCATTTAATACACTTATCTGTGTTGGGAGCATGCGCTGGCAAACTTTCAGCCTTTATAAAATGACGAAGGTCTGGCGTTCACGGGCTCTTCCTCTAATAGTGCAATTGTTTATGGTCTTAATTGTTAAAAATGTATTAGTTTACAGTACTTTAGTTTGAATAAGTTATTATAATAAGTTAGTGCGCCGCTATACTATGTGAACAAGATACAAAAAGGACCTGATGTTGGGTAGGTCTCTAGCATTTTTGTCTTTGTTATTTATTGTCCACGAAGACTGCATTGTATAGATCAACTTGCTCTAAATTGAAACAGCTTTGAAATGGATCTACTTAACATTTGGCTGGGGAAATACCGAGAATATTCAATCGAAGGAATACTCGTCGAAGGAGGCACATTTGATCAGCAAACATTAATTGGGTGGGAAAAATTAGTAGGCTTATGTAGAGCATCTTTATATTTTATTTTTTCTTATTAAAGCATTATCAATCCTAAAGATTGGTTAAATGCATAATTTTTGTATATTTTTTGTTTAATTATAAAAATCCTATACATTCTATTTATTGTTACAAAATCGTTATTTATGTATTTTACTTATATTTATAGACATCATACAAAAATTACATAAATTTTTTGATAATTAATATCTTCAAAGGTCTATTAGATGGAGAGCAAGTTACGGCGACGAACGGGTGAAACCTTTGTACTTAAATTTACTTTTGACAAAAATATGTCCTTAATTTAACCATTAGTATTTTGAATATCCTAGACCTCGTCTCTACTTGATAACTATTCACAAAAACGCACTGACAGCCAACAAAGATATGTGATTACTTAATACAAAACAAAAATTTGCCACCGTACAATTTTGACAATAAGGGTGAACATTATAAATTCTCTCTACATTACATTTTTCGTAAGTTTGCAGTTATTTGCTGATGAGAAATTGGCCCCGAAAATATTGTAATTAGCTCAATCGTTTACATTTCGTATAAGCTTATTAAAATGAATATATGTATAAGGTAAAATTTATAGAAAAAAATGCTGCCTTTCAGTGTATAATTTGGAAAAATTAGCAATAGGAAACAATACAAAAATATGGGCTTAAATAAATTTACCAATTAAGTACCTAAAATTAATCGTGCATTAATATTATCAGTATAATATAATATAAGCAACAAATTCTACATCATTCAAAACATAAAATATTGGCTAAGAAGTGATATTACATATTATACGTGATTTGTTTACCTAATCGCTATTGTTTTCAGAATCAATGAAAGCAATTAACATTACCTACTACTTAACACTAAAGACCCGTTTAGACTAAGACGCTATACACGGTACATTCAGTGTATACACGAGTCTCTGTGTGAATGCGAGTGTCTAATTCTGAAATTTATTGCGACACCATAAATTGTGCCGTGAAAACGCGTGTGTCCAACGTGGCTGGTCACTGGTGTGGTTAGAAAGTTTTCGAACAGGCTCGATGTTTTTAATACACCTCACCGCGTAGAAGATAATACTTAAAAATGAGGTTTACGTGGTGTATGGAGTGTGATCAATTCGGACACAATTTCGTTAAAACTTCGTAAAAGTCTTTTGTGTCGTAGTCTAAACTTACCTGTTCAGTAATGTTTTATCGCCTGTGTATACTTTGATCTATACTTTTATAAACATTTGATATACAGAGGCTTTAGGTACTTTGTAGTGACTAGCGATCTAAGCGAAGTATATACCTACTGCAGTCTGCAATCAATATAAAATATAAACTTTTTAGTGTGCAGATTTAAAATATATTGATCGATAGTAGGCACATTTATAAATAGAATGATATCACTAAAAGTGTTTCAGAATCGTTAGTAGGTACCTACATATTAAACTTTTAACTAAATTAATTCTTGTTTCATTTTTATAAAATTTATCTCATTTTTCAGTATAACGTTTTATGAAAAGTAAAATTCATGGACGAATTGTGGTTAATTTGTTCATGGTAAAATTATATATTTAAGTTCTATAATACGTAAGTGGAGTTTGTAAATTGATTACATTTTTTTTATGACTTTTTAACAAAAATATGACTAAATTTTGTAAATATCAATTCATTTTGTTTAAATTATATTTTTAACTAGTATATTCTAACAATGCAGTTTTTGTATTTTTTCTCAGAAATGAGACATTTTCCCGTGGTGATTATCTTATATGTTGACCCAGATATCCAGCAATCACCATACCAAATTTCATCAAAATCCCCCCAATGGTTTTTCCGTGATGCGGTAACAGACAGACAGACAAAAATTCTAAAATCTTTAGATTCTGCCTCTATATCGATAATAATATCTATTTCAATAAGATTTTCAAAAAAATATTTAATGTACAGATTCGGCTTATTTACAATTTTATTATATGTATAGAAAATATAACGTCGCTGACCGCAGTCTGCCTCTGTCTGTTACTCCGCTTACTTCTTCTAAGCTTCACACAATGGATTATGAAAAGGTTTTTACTAATAGAAAGAGCGATAGAGGTTTGTGTATAAAATTTGTACATATTTTATTCAATTTAATTCAATTCTCTTCATAATGGCTTCAAAACGTTGCTGGGCGCAGATTACTTTGCCAATGTCATGTAAAATGGAGAAGACCAAAAGGAGTTTGGTCGGTAAAACAAGATCATTAAAACTATATTAAAGTATAATGTGTAAAAAGGGAGTAAGTCCTTAATAAACCTTGTATCTACAACAAAGACATCATAATTAATATATACCTACATAAAAACCTTAATTAAACATAAGTAGGTAGGTTAGATTATTCCATTACCCTTGTTTTTGGGGGTCTCATATGCGTCCGGCAGTTCAGCCGGGACGCACAGGGTGGTGACTCACTTTGGTGGGCGGTGTACTCTGTTGGAGCAAC